AAATGAAATGGTGTGGCATGACGTTGAGCGCTGCAGATAAATGAATGCCCCACAAACCTCAATGAACTGAAGCAGCACCGTAAGAAGTTGGCCAGAATTCCTCCACAACGTTGTGAGAGCCTGATAAAAAGTTATTACTTCTAAGTTATTGCTGCTAAAAGTGGTTCTACAAGATATTGAATTATGGAGTATACTTAGTATTTCACAGGCTTTCAGAGTCCTGTGGTAAATTTCTTTTTCAAGCGACTGTATTTGTGCTTTGGTAGATATATTTTAACTCTAGTCTCTTTGTACCTCACCTTTATAGAATATCGATATGCATTCTCTAATTGTAATTGGGTCGAGAGAATTGCATAAACAACCTGAACTTTTTACTATATATTTATTTCTGCTGTTAAACTTAAAATGAACTTTTTTTAAAGGATGCTTTTGTTTTTACTTTTTATTATATTTATTCAAAAACATGGTGGATGCTCATTTTTAAAATGAGAAATCAGCACATGTACTGTTGTACCTGTGAGCCAAAAGCGCTGTTTGAGTTTTCTAAACTAAGTCAAAAGGCTTAAAGGCAGAGAGGGGCTGCTCCAAGGACTGTATATGATAAATGATTATTTTAAGTGGTGAATGATGCAAAATCACTTTCTGCAGGCACCAAATTAACATTTTGGAGCTGGACAAGGGCATTATAGGCCTTCTTTAAAATATCAGTGTAATCTCTCGGGAGTTATTTTCATATATATTTCATATTTCGTTGATTATACATCAGCTGGTCAGTACTGAATCTAATCAATTCTTTCAGAGTTGCTGACAGTTTGGACACCAAGATGGACATCAGTAACCTGTCCCGAGTTTTTGGTCCAACAATTGTGGGACACGCAGTTCCCAATCCTGACCCTATGACAATCCTACAGGATACCAAACGGCAGCCTAAGGTAAGCTTGGAAGATGAGACACAGCTCTTGCATACCTGTCCTAGTGTGCACTTGTTGAGCACCTGCTGCAAAAATAAACTAAAGAAGAGCAACGGATGCCTCTCTTTAAGGTGTAGTTGCACACACTTTACAGTTGCACAGTTTCCTTTGCCTTAAACTGAAGCAATCTGAAATGCTGAGAACAGCTCTTCATCTTTTTCGATTACTCTTGGATTATTTATAACTGATTCTCTGACAAAAGTGACCATAATAAACCAAGTCTGTGGCAAACACAGTTGGCTCATTTTAATGTGTTCGCTGCAGGCATCAACAAAACATGTAATTTGCCCAGGGGTAGCCAGACTTCTTGCAGCTGTTCCCTTCATTACACTTGTTGTGGTTACAGTCTCCTTCCACATTTGCTGGTTGAATACTTTTAATGTGAAATACCAAGTTGGTGAAAGCACAAATTTATCTCAATGACACGCAGTTTTCCTGTGAATCCCTGTGAGCTGTTATTATATAGAGGTGTACCTCCACAATGTAAAGATTGTTTAATAGTTAGTGCTGGAAAAGAATGCATAAATAATTTTTAAGATGTCTTAAATCTCACAGATTATAAATGCATTATACTTTCACTAGAATTTGCAGCAAAAGCTGCCATTTCTTAAACATTTACTTA